TTATTGTATTATGATAGACAATAACGTTTTTCGAAGCAACAAAACTATCAATTTAAATTAAATAAAAAGGGTCATTATGTTACAAAGAGAGCAACTTTCTGCGAGCACCTAGCATTAGGTTTTGGACGGTGTTTATATCGACTTCAGGGATCTTACTGTATATTCGGTAGGATGATTTTTTTTCAACTATTTTTTTTTTCGCTCCCGTCCTGAAATTTTGTTGAAAATGCTCCAAAAAAAAATCCCTGAAATATTGAGTCCTTAATATTAATATTAAGTCCTCGACCAAGGCGTGCAAAAATTTTCCATTTGAAATACACGTAAAAATAGGGTTTTTTTTTTGAGATTTCTATAGCTTAGCAGCATTTAATGGTATTATTTCGACCATAGACATGTGTTTCTTCAAATTGAACGCTCTACAAAAGTATCCATTGCGGCGATGTCGTAACTCACATCGGCAAGGTAGTACGGGTCACTAAATCACGTTATTTCGACCCTATGTCATAATTGAGAAAAGTTACAAAAAAAAAAAAATGTAAATGACAAAGTTGTAGGATATTTAATTAACTACAAAAAAATGTACTGAGAACCAAATCGCTAAGATCAATATTTGTCGAGATATTAAGCCTTGAATTAATTTTACTGTAAAATTTTTGCCGATTATTCACTGAAACTTTTTGAAATTATGTTTTTTTTTGTATTATCACACTTTTTGTTTAATATATTTTTTCAAAGTTAGAATACTAGAATATGAATAATATCTTACATCGTTAAAGCTCAAATTTGAAGAATCTTTAACCAATAAAGGATTTACTGATTCCTGCATAAAACATACAAATACAATTACTTTTATATAATTTATATATTACTAACATCTATTAAATTATAATAGTTTGAATCATATTAACAACAATAAATTATCTATGAAAATAGAAAAAACAATACCAATATATTATTATTGAAAGTAGAAAAAATAATTGTTACATTGATTCATAGTTAATATATTGTGATTTTTTACACGATGTGTATTGAGAGCGATAATGATGCTGAGAAGTTGGAAAAAATGTTTGTCTCTTAATTTCATTATGAGTCAATGCTTCATTAAAATTTTCGGCTAGTGCTACTCCTCTTTCTACATTTTAAATGTATCATAACATTGTTTATAGTTGAAATGAGATGACACACTTCTTATGAGTTTTCGGGGACCGGTCGATTTTTTTTAAATTTTAATATGTTATAGTACTTGCAAAAATAAGCATATTTTTTTTAATTTGACCAACGAACAATGAATGTGATATGATTACATGTCTGTGCAATACAGGGTGTTTTAATTTACATGTCCCTTCCGAAATCGTGTAAAACAAAAACAGATTTAGGTATGCCGGCCCTTGTTTCGGCATTATATAGCGATTTAGAAAGTGAAAATGTTTTTTTTAACTTTCTCGAGGCCAATTTATGCTTTTGAATTGAAGGGTGCCATATGCAAAACGTGGTAAGCGCCACTTTTACGCAAATAGTGTTTATATCGGAAATGGGTGGTATGTGCCTTAATACACCAGCACAATGTATTTAATGTATATGATGTTGTCTACTTTTGGGAGACAAACGGGATTATTTATCAAAACGTTGTATGTACCATCTGACAGTTGCACATTTTGTAACCTAACTTTTTTAGTACTGAGTATTACTTTAATATATTTTACGTTCTTGTATAAAATGGAAATTCCAGAATGTATTCGAGCCAAAAAAAGAAAGAAACGTTAGAGAAGAAACGAGCAGAAATAAAAATAGTGGAGGTCCCTATAAAACTATAAAGAAAAATATTCCAAAACCTGGAAAGTTTTTTACCGAAGAGGTAGGCGAAACGTACTAAGCTATTTGACTTAATACTATAATGTGTTATTATTTATTTTAGGTAAATTGCAAATGCCAGTATGCTTGTAAAGTATTAACTGTCGCCTCCAGAAAAAATATGTTTCAACAATTTTATAAGTTGCAAGGCTATAACGAACAACAAAATTTTTTGCGTTCTCTTATTCGTCCAAGCCTAATAAAACGTAGACGGCATGAAAATCCCGCTCGGAGCAGGCGACAGCATTCTTTTAAATATTATTTACCACTGCCAGGGGATTCTGAGGTACAGGTTTGTAAACAAACACTATGTTCAACTTTTGGTGTTACACAACGAAGAGTGGAATTGCTCAGCAAGAAAATTTTATCTGGTGGTATTTCGGTCCACGACCAACGAGGTGGTAAACGTCCTGCAAGAAATCCAGTGTGGAAACAAAAAATTATGGACTTTATTCAATCGATACCTTGCAGAGAAAGTCATTATGGCCGAGAACAAAATTTGAACCGCAGGTATCTAGCAGAGGATTTAAATATACGTAAATTACATACTGCTTTTCTTGTAAAATACCAGCTTGATGCAAGAAATCCTCCAGTTTCTCGTCAATGGTTTAACCAAATTTTCAAAAAATAATTTTACTTAGCATTTGGAGAACCAAGAGTAGACACTTGCCCTACTTGTGACGAGTATAAAATTTCTATACTTGCTGCAAAAAGTCCTGACGAAAAGAGAGAACGCCAACTAAAGCGTGACGTACATCAACGTAAAGCTGAAGCTGCTCAAAAACTTCTAGCGGGAGATGTAGCGGATTGCAAGAAGTAAGATTCTGATACATGCGTACTTTCTTATGACTTACAGAAGCAGATGTATCTTCCTGCACTGACTCATACTCAAATGTATTATAGTAGGCAGTTTACTTGTATTAATCTGGGCATACATTTCGAGGATGAAGCGAAGGGGTTTATGTATATGTGGGACGAAAGGTCTGGCAAGCGAGGTTGTAATGAAATTGGTAGTTGCGTGTATAATTTTATTACAACACAGTTAAAAACAACTATGTATCTATTTCCAACAGACACATCGGAGGTCTTAGAAATAATAAATAATCTAAAAAATAAAAAATCTCCAGGTTTGGATGAAATTCGTGCAGATACTTTAAAACAAATTGCTTACGAAATTGTTGAACCATTGACCTTTCTAATAAATAAATGTTTAGATACAGGGTGTTTTCCTAAGATTTTAAAATGTGCTATAGTCAAACCGCTATTTAAAAATGGAAATAAAAATGAATTAGGAAATTATCGACCAATATCGCTATTATCAACTATTTCAAAAATAATTAAAAAAAAAATTAAAAATACGCCTTTGCAAATTTCTAAACAAATTTCGTATATTATCTGATCGTCAATTTGGTTTCAGGGAGGGTCGATCAACTGAGGATGCCATTTATAAACTAACATCAACAATTTATAACTCTTTGGATAAAAAAGTACCCATTTTATGTATATTTCTAGATCTCTCCAAAGCCTTCGACACTGTGTGTCATGTGAAATTATTAGAAAAATTGCAAAAGTATGGAGTGGAGGGGTAAATCATATAACATTTTTGAAAGTTATTTATCAAATAGGCAGCAGCTTGTTCAAATTGGAGATACTAGAAGTGATTCACAAACAGTAACTGTTGGAGTTCCTCAGGGAACCGTGTTAGGCCCGATCCTTTTTTCTGTATACATAAATAGCCTTCTCAATTTGGAATCACTTGGCCAAATTTTTAGCTTCGCGGATGATACGGCTGTCATATACACTTCGTCTTCTTGGGATAACCTAAAACAAAAAGTTGAAAGTGACTTTCCAAGAATAGCAAATTGGCTTCAATATAATAAACTTACAATAAGCTATACAAAAACAAACTACTTACCGTTTAGCTTCTATACTAGTGGTCTTCCTTCCATGGGATCTTTAAAAGTAGGCCTAGGTATAGAAATCCCTGAATCCTCTTCAGTAAAATATCTTGGAATTCTTATAGATAGGCATATGAGGTGGGATTTACATACCAAGCAACTAATTAAAAAAATAAGAGGATTATTGCCCAAATTCAGGTATTTAAAAGATTTTTTAAATGTTCATGCTCTAAAAACAATGTATTTCTCTTTGATACAGTCGTTATTAGTCTATGGTATTATAGGTTGGGGAGGAATACACGATAACTTTCTGAATGATGTTCATGTGGTGCAAAAATGTATTTTGCGTATTATCTATAACAAAGATATTCAATATTCTAGTAACTCCTTGTACAAGGAATTAAAAGTTTTTGATTTAAGACAATTATATTTTTTTAAAATTCTTCAATTTATAAAAACAAAAAAAATTGTTTTGACATCACATGAACATCAGTATAATACACGACGAGTAGAATCTGTTTATTTTCCTCGTAGTGAAAAATCTATAGGACAACGTACATGCAATTATCTTGCACCAAGAATGTATATTTTAGTCCCAGAAGAGATACGAAATATACCGTCTTATAATGTATTCAAAAAACATCTAAGAAACTGGATTCTTCAAGAAGACCGAGAAGAATTTACTAATGTTATAAATAATTACCTATCGTAAACTATTATATTCATTATCCATACTTTTAATAATTGCACTGATTTTCCGATTAATTTCTTTAAATTCCTAAAATTTGTAATTTACTCACCCAATAATAGGACTTGTTCTTCTGATTACGACCTATTTCTCGATTATGTCCTCTATCTCGATTATGTCCTCTATCTCGATTATATCCTCTATCTCGATTACGACCTTTCTCTTGAGTGTAACTAATTCCCGATTTTGACCCTTTTCCAAGTATTACATTATATAAATAATTTAATTTAATTTTTAACATTTTGTCTAAGATACAAAGAAACTGATCCATTGGGCTTATTCATTATTTATTAGGTCATATTACTATAGAATTAATTTTTGATTAAATTTTTTAGTAATACCTACCACGTACAAGCTGTCCGTAACAGCTTCTGTGTAGTTCATGTTTATTTTGCTTATCTTAAAATTGATCATCAAATGCTATTACAAAAATTAAAGTCTAAGCAACTATCTGATCTTCTTCTTTTACTTATCGATTCTTACTTAGAAAATAGACGTCAGTACGAGCAACACTAAGGATTTAGATCAAATCATTTTAAGCAAATTTCAGGTGTACCGCAGGGCTCGGTCCTTGGGCCCCTTCTTTTCATAGTTTTTATTGATGACATTATTGGCAAAAGCACAGAAGTAAAATGTATGCTGACGATTTAAAAATGTTTGCTGAAATATGGAACTTTGTTGATTTCACAGCTTTACAAAGTTGTTTAGCTGAATTATTGCTATGGTATACTAAAAATTATTTGCATTTGAATCCTGGTAAATGTAGTGTTATGACATATACTAGGAAAAAATCATATTTCACCTTTGATTATCAGATCAATGGCACTGTGTTAAGTAGGCCGGAGTTTATAAAGGATCTGGGAGTCCATTTTGACAGGGAATTAACTTTCGCAAGGCATATTGAGCAGACAGTTATGTGTGCTTCACGGAGTCTTGGTTTTGTAATTCCAAATTCCAAACAATTTAAAAGTATACATACAATGAAGCTTTTATATATTAGTTTTGTTAGATCTAGACTTGAGTATGCGTCAGTTGTATGAAATCCATCACTTAACATTTATAGTAGCGCTACTCAAAATGTGCAAAGAAAATATATGAAGTCTGCATCATATCTTCTAGACAATATCTATCCTTCTGGAGGATTTCTTCATGATTAAGTTTTGTCGAGCTTTGATTTAATGGAACTGCACATACGCCGTAAAATGCAGCTAGTTTCATTCCTATGGGATATTTTACATAAAGGGCTAAACTGCATTGAGTTTCAGGATTATATCAACATTAAAGTACTCCGCCCTGGCCTCAGAATATACTTAACCTTTTACTTGCCAGCTGCAAATACAAATATTTTGAACGATTCTTCAATTTTTCAAATGATTAATAATTATCATCGCTTTCAAAAAAGTTTGGATATTTTTAGTTGTAAGAAAATAGATATTTTTAGAGCTATTATCATAGAAACTGAGTAGGTGTTTATCCTGCTTGGTAAGTTGATAATATATCTTCTGTGTGTATTTATTTTATTTTAATTTTTTTAAATTTGTTTTATGCTCTTTTAAGAACTTAAATATAATTGAATATTTTACCTTCAGTTTTCCTTAAAAATAGGCTTTATTGTACTTATTTGTTTCATGTTCAGTCATATCTGATGTTCTTAACTCGTTAGTGATGTATATAATTAGTATATTGTATTTGTTTTTAATTTATGTTCATCCCACTCTGTAATTGGTTTTTAACTGTTGAGTGGTGTACTAAATAAATAAATAAATTATTTGTAGGAAAACGTATCCATAAAGATGCGACTGATCATTGATTATAGAGTGATCTTCGGCATGTACACACCTTTAGAAATGCGAAATGTGTTCCCTGGTATATTTGGTAGTTAAATAAATAAATTTTGTTTTAAAATTTTATTGCGTCTTATATATACCACCTCAAACGGGACAGTACTAGTTTGTAAAAAATAATTGAGTCCGATGATCATATATATTCATCAGGAATAGCCCTATACAGCCACATCTATTTTATTGCAATCCAAAGATTACATCAGTAATCCCAAAAACTGTGCTTACGACAGTAATAATCTGCGGCTTGAAGACAGAAATAAAATTCGTCTTATTCAGTACACTCATTTACAAACTTTACCATAATATTTTCACTTTGTACCGTAACATTTAAATCACCACAGTCTATGTCGTCCGCCCGAGTGAAGATAAAAGCCCGAAACTTGTTTCGTGGCATCTCAGAGTACTGCAGTGCATGTTTCTAAATTTTTAATAGAGTTAACTTCCACATAAATGAGTTTGTCAGAGAAAGTTCGGGAAAAGTTATGCCTGAAACTTTTCGAAAAGCACTGAATACTTTCATTTAGATACGAAATTGGAGACGGATAGCTTAATAGTTCCAAAATAGTTTGTATTAAGTTGGAGAATTTGATTATGGCGTTTTAATTAAAATATGCTTCGAATTAATCTATAAGGTTGTTCAATGAAAAGTTATATTAATATCGTAGATGCTAAAAAACACTCGGATCTAGTAGAATTGGATGCAGGAAAAAAAGTATTACGACGCCGTAAGCGGAGTGCTCAATCGTCGAGTGCGATTTGGATAATCCACTCGAGTTGTACAGTATATTTTTTCTACGACCCACTAACGAAAATTTACAAATAAAAAATATATATTTTAGGTTATTAAGACAAAACAAATAATTTTAAAATAATTTATGAATTTTAATAATTTTTAAAATAAAATAAATGAAAAAAAAAAATTAATTTAAAAGTCCCCAGCCGAGGCTAGAACTTGGGTATCTCGCTTGGAAGTCTGATACTATCACTAACCATTCACAGGCATATTTGTGAAAATTCTTTAATACTCGTAATTGAATTGACTTCATAGAGTTTTATTAAAATTAACGAATTATTTATAATTATAGTATAAATAAAAATAGAAATGCTACGATTTATCGATTCTACACTGTAACGTTTAAATTTGGCCTTATAGCGGTTTTTCATAAAAATAAGAATACACTAGTTTTTATCCGTGTGAAATTATTTAATGGGTCCTTCTATACCCGCATTTTTAACCACTGTGCTTTTGGTTCGATATTCGAACAGAGCGGTCCTTCTGTGACACTGGGTGAGCATGTGGCTGCCCTGTATTTAAGATGTCGGTTTAGCGTTTCCGCTCTGACATTACGTGCGAGTATATGATCAGTTTGGGGTAGATAGGACCTCTATTTGAGTTTAGTTAGGCTGTTTATTTCGTTTTAGAGGCTTTGTTTGGTATTTTAGCCCTCTCTGTCAAGAATTTATTTCGTAATAGAGGGCGCTGATGGGACACCTATCTGCCACTAAGGTATGTTGGTATTACTGTTTTTTTTTGAAGTGACATTGGCTTCCGCCTTCTGCAATATTTTTCGTGATTAATGTTCGACACGAGGTTTTAATTTTGAAAGGTAGTTTCGAAATTTATTGAAAGTCGTTTCAATCCATTTGGGATATTACGAAGCAACCTTTTGTGTTAAGTTACAACAGTGTGGATTTGGTAGTATTTTTTTGGTGATCACATGTTGTAGGAGCTCTTAGAGAGGATATATTTAACCACGTGTTGAATCTCAGTAGATATTCTTTTGTAAGACCTTTCGTTCTTTTATTTTAGTGTCCACATATATATGTAGTCTTTCTAAAAGCCGTTCACGAATTTGTCGTTCAATTGATCTGGTGGGTGCATCGTGTTCCCCCTTTGCGGATTAAAAAAAGGGTAATTATGCTTTGATTTTAGTTAGAATGCTTACTTGGACCTAACCCTAGGTTATGTACTTTTCGTTGTATATATTTTCAATAAATGGGATGCACTATTAGGGGTAGTATCTTGAAATCTAAGGGTGTAATTTGCTTATTAAGTGTAATTGTTGGGTAGAACTCGCTTCACGAGCCGTCTATATTTTTGTTTTGTAAATCTGAAGATTACCTACATAAATTGATAAGCCGAACTTTAATTAACTAGTAAACGTTGAGTAGTTTTATCTATTTCTAGATCTCGCTTCACGAGAAGGCTATGTAGGTACCTGGTTATTTAATTTTAACTTCTTATTAACCAGGGATAAATAGTTATTACTGTGTTTTATATTATACGTTTTCTTTAGGGTTCTTGTGACGGGCACACACTTCTTGTGACGGGCCAGTATTCTTGGTACGAGCCAGTATTCTTGTGACGGGCACACACACTTCTTGTGACAGGCTGATACTTCTTGTGAAGGGCTATCAACTCTTGTGAAAGCCAACACTTCTTGTGACAGGCCAGTAGTCCTTGTGAAGGACCAACACATCTTGTGACCAGCTGATTGATTCGTATGCTGCTAACGAAGCAGAGACATCAACGTCTACTGGGAAGAAGTCACAGTGTACCGCAAGTTTTTGCTATCTTATTTTTTTTATATCACTTATTACTATTTAATCTATTTTATTGGGGGTGTTATTAGTATATAATTTTATCTAAACCTAATGTAAACGAGGTTTAGGGGTTTATGGTTCACAGTACATTTTATTAAACCCGAAACACTTCACCAAGAGCTCTTCGTGGGTTATATATTATTTATGGGTAATTAATATTTTAATAAGTAACAGTATTTTACTTGTTTTTACCCCTAGCGTCCGTAATTAGTACACTATTATTTGTTTTCTTTGATAAATACAGTACACACTTCATGTGTTATAGTTTTACGATTACCCCTAGTCCCATTTAATGATTTTTAAGCTTGATATAGTATTTTAGTTGTAAATATTACTCCCAGTGATACTGGATTACTGTTAATAGTTGGAGAATCTGTTAGTAAGGTACTAAGTGATTTAATTATTTGTTTATTTGTTAAATATCAGTACATTTCATAGTGGTAACGAAGTTGACCCCCCATGTCAACACGATAAATTTATATTACATTATTAAACTTGGGTATATATATATATATATATATATATATATATATATATATATATATATATATATTGAATCTAACTTATTATTTATCCCCACTTGCTAACTGTCAACATTTATTTTTATGGTAAAGTACACTTTTAATATATTTGGAGCATACTCGATTTGTAGCCGCTTGATGGCCTTGTAGAGGAGATGCTATAGTTTCCTATTTGGAGTTTGGTAGTGAACTGTCACATGGATTGTTGGATGTGAGGTTAAACTCCTGGCGCCCTCTGAAGAACATAACTTTTACTACGACTCACCCCCTTCTTCACTGTAGTTAGTCGGCATCCAACTTTGGATTGACATAAATCCCACCTCGGTGCTTAGGCACAGAAAGTAGGTAGCAACACAAAAATAAGTCATTTTAATGTATATTTAAGTTCAATAACTAAAAAATATACTCAAAATTAGTTTAACAGACTTGTCACTTTTTGCAGTTTTATCACTACATTGGATGGATATAAAATATATTCGTTCAGTTAATGGCAATAGTATACTTTTTCGTTTTGTAATCTGTGCGTAGCCACAAAGACCTGATAGCTGCATGCACAAAACAGTGGATGTTTAAAAAACTCAGGAATGGTGAAAAAATTCACCAGAAGAGAGACATGCCAAATAGTACAGGATTAGTAAGTAAGGTTAACCTTCACCCATCTGTAAAATAGGTAAAAAATAACATCTATTAAATAAAATATGTTAATAAATATTCCGCAAATGCCTAAGAAAATACGGTCACGGCCATTTTTTACTTTTCTTTCTTTATACAGATAAGGAAAGTATAGGAATCATAAAAGTTGCTCATGATGTCATATTGATGTTCCTATACGTCATCATTTCCCTAAAATGGACCTAATTCGAGATATTTGAGCAAAAGTGCAAATTTCGAATTTTGAAAATAACTGAAGTAAAAGTTTTGAAATATAATTTTGCATTGAATACTTACCAGGTTATCAAAAATGTACATTTACTCAGTAGAATAGTAGAAAACAAGCAGATACAAAAGTTCTAATAAATCAAAAATGGGTTAGTAATTAAAAATATAATAATAATATATAAAATAATTGAATTTGTATTACCAAAGTATTGCGATAT